GTATTGGGGGGGAAAGGGGAGGGTAAAGGTCAGGGGAGGGTAAAGGTCCAGTGCTAAAGGTCAGGGGTTAGAGATGGGACTTCCAGTCCCAAGATGGCAACCAAGGGGCAGGGCAACTGTCAAGGGGTGGGGCTACCCATGTGGCCCTTGAAAGCTCACCAAACCTTGTTAAGTGGCCCACCACGCCAAATAATTGCCCACCTCTGGTCTACAGCCTCATTAATGTTTGCAAGATTCTCAGGGTATGGCAAACAAATAAATTAAACTGATTAAGAAGATCCAGGGTTGGTAGTGGGGTGGGAATTACCATGCATTCGCTGCTCCATGTTAACTATTTCCTGTGTCTGCTCTAGCTCATGCTAAGTGGAAACTGATTTGTGGTAACTAAGGAGTTGTTTCATTCAGGGGTCAACTACCTCAGTTTAGCTTTTACTTACTGCAAGATAGAGCAGGCATGCTAGATGGTGACTGTGGGGCTTGCGGAATGACACTGAAACAGACCAGAGCATGAATCAATAAGGCTCGCAGTGATGCTCAGGGTTGGCCTTTTTAAACCAAGACTAAACCCCACTCTTCCAAGTCATGCTATGTCCTATGTTCAGAGACAACATTTCTCTAAAATTATCAGTTACCTTCTTTTTTGCTCCCTACACTTCTACATGCCCAGAACCCTCTCCTTCTACAGACATAGCTTTCATTGGCACTATTCTGTTCCTAAAAGTAATCATGTCCATCTAATTGCAGGCAAGCAATGGTGCCTCAGCCCACATGACAACTGATATTTTCCATGGACAACAGGTAAATTTCCCTGAACTGCAAATGATGGGTTTTTTCATTTAATGTCCCTCTCACAATCATGTTACTCTTTGTACGGTTCTACAGCTGTAATAATGCAAGGCCATTCATAAACCTCTGGTATCATAGAGCAGGGGTGGGCAAAATGTGGCCCGGGGGCCGGATGCGGCCCACCAGGCCATTCTGTGGCCCATGGGGCCCCTAAAAAATTTAGAAAATTAACATCAATCTGCCCTGGGCTTCCTGTCATGCAGACCTCAATGGCTTGCTGAAACTCAGTAAGTGGCCCTCTGTCCAAAATAATTGCCCGCCCCTGTCATAGAAGAACCTCATTTCTGATGTGTCTAATTGGGAACTGTCATTTTTGTAGAGCAGCTTGCACTTTCAGACTAATTGGCTAGGGACAGAAATTACACATAAACCAGCACAAGTGATCAGAAACCAGCTATAAATGTAACACAATAGAAGTTCAATGCACATAAACCATTTTCAAAATGGTTGCAACTGGTTTAAGATAAATCTGGATGAATGTAGTGTCAGACTTAACTGATTTGGTTAAATTGGTTTATTGAATTTCTGTCCCAGTTTTCCTCAAGATTGAAGTTAACTCACAGTCCCCCAGCATCCTTGGATGCTTTGCACCTCCCTGCAAATACCTGCCCCCTTGTAGGGTGGGCAGATTAGCCTTGGCTCAAGCTGCAGCCTAGCAGAAATGTGTGCTCTGACACCCCCAGCCTTCTGGCCTTGGTCACTGCAGGCATGTGGCTGCATTTCTGGAATCAAAAGCAAATGTCTATTTACTTTCTAATTGGTTCAATCTATGCAGCTTAGGCTAACCTGAGAAGATTCAGCCTCAAGCTTCTTGACTCTGTACTTAGCCATAGTGGTTTACCCCAGTTAAGCCTGAGAAGTTACTGTCCTTTTACATATGAATGACTTCTTTCTTACCACCCAGTAGGAAAACATATGTTGTGAAATTTCTGTAGGATTGCTGAATTTTGAGACAAGCTAGACTGCTGCTCCCTGTATAGGTTTTATTGGGTTTTTCTAAATGTGAAAAACCCCACCTGAAATCCTCCAAGACAGAAATATTGTACCATTGTTTTGGTCAGAAGAAAATGCCTAATGACCTGTGATAATTTGAAAAATGTATGCAGTACCTTCATCAAACCAAGATGAAAGACCCCTCTTTGTGATGACACTTCATACTCCTGTCCCTTTCAGACCAGACTTGTAGTAATCACCTAGGGCTTTATGTACACTATGTATGTATGTACATATGTACACTATGCCACAATATGCTGACTGTTGACTATGTTTAGGATTATAAAATCCTGCCTTTCTAGGATCTGTGTGGCCACAGATTTTCATTTATAAGCGAACCTTGAAAGGATGATAGCTTTGCATTCCAAGGAGTCTATTAGACAATCCTTGTATTTAAAAAAAAATTCTTTTTTGATTGCATTCTTTATTTAAGACCAAGGAGAAAGAAGGTAAGACAGCTGGGAAGCCACTTGTACACCATTGGAAGGAGCTGGGCCGGCAGGCACAGGAAGGGCATGGTCTGCATCAGCAAGACAAAAAAGAAAAGAAAAAACTAGCATCTTAGATGGAGAGAGATAGAAATCCTTTCTGGCAGTCTGGCACTATGGAGAAACATCATCAAAACGCATTAGGCAAAGTCACTACAAAAAGATGTCATATAGTCAGGGCTTACATATGCAAAAATAAATCGTTACTGTTCCAAGACAAATTGCAGTTAAATTCTTTCTGGCATTTTAGCAGTCTTTTCTTACTTTTACCTACATATGCCACCCTTCCTTCTCCAAGGCAAAGCCGGTACACTTGAAAGTATTGCTTGAACCATTTTGAAACACAGGAGCCTTTAGACCAATGGTGGGCTAAATATGGCCCACAGGCCAGATCTAGCCCTCCTACTGAATGGATCTGGCCTGGCTGGCCCCACGCACCCTCCATGGGGTCAAGCCCTGCCCACTCCTGCCTGGGGCAGCCTGTCCTGAGCTCCAATCTGCTGGCCAGGGCCAAAGCACACAGTTTCCTAGTGGGGCTGCTGTCAATGCAGCTGCAGCCACACTGGTACAGCTTGGCTTTTCCCTCCTCCAGTGGCTTCTCTTCCTGTCCCTGCTGCACTGCTCCAGGCACCAGGTACCATGGGGAAGGGTGGTGTCCATGAGGATGTGTACTGGGCACCACATGCTTAACTAGGCAGGGGGAAGCTGCAGCCAGGCAGCTCCTGCCCCAGGACGCAGGGCTCCAGCTTCTGGCCACCTTCCACCCTCTCTGCTCACCTAGTGCAATGAGCAGCCACCTATGGATGGCTGAGTGGGTGGAAGGTGGCAGGGAGCTGGAGCCCCATGCACCGGGGCAGGAGCTGCCCAGCTGCAGCTTCCCCCTTGTCTGGCTGGGTGTGAGGTACCTGGCATATGTCCCAACAGCTGCCACCCTTCCCCATGCTACCTGCTGCCTGGGACAGAAGGGGCAGGAGGAGGAGGAGCCACTGGAGGCAGAGGAAGCCAAGCAGTATCTGGGCAGCTGCAGCCACACCAGAAGCAGCCTCACTAGGAAGCTGCATGTGCTGGCTAGGGCCAGGGCATGGGCCATGGGAAGATGCAGGCAAGAGTGCAGTGCAGGTTACCTCGGGTGGGAGTGGGCAGAGCTCAACCCCAAGTGGAGCACTGTGGGGGCAGCCGTGGGCTGGATGGAGGGTGGGGGTGGACTGTACCTGCACCACATCACCCAGGTGAGCTGTGCTGCATGCACCTTCTGCCCTTCTCCCTTCCTCCCCGCGTCCCTGACCATCTCCCAGGACCTAGCACTTGAGTAGATCCCCCCACATGTATAGCACTTGGGTAGATACCACACACTGCCCCCATGCCCCCTTAACCCCCACCCACACACCATATACCCCACCACCCTACCCCCAACACAATATACAAAAGCAAGACTTTATTTTGAGCTATTATGCAATTACCTCTATACACAATACTCTAAAAAACTTAAATCAGGACAAAAATAATTTAAAAAATCAAATTAAAATGTTATAGTAGATGTTTGGTTTTTAGTATATGATATATTTTTATCTATAACTAGCCAATTGCCTCTCAAGAATGATGGGGACCGAGGAGGAGGGGGTTGGGATGGAGTGCCACCACCTAATGTCCCATGCTGCTGCTGTTCTGCCTCTTTCAGGGACTGGGGTTGGGGAGCTGAGGCCAGCAGGACCCTCTGTCCAGTCCTCAGTGCAACTGGGCCCTGTGCATTTTGTTTTGTTGTTCCTTTTATTAAAATGAAAATACTGTTAACTCATTGTGAGTGCATCAGCTGTAGGGAAGATGTCAGAAGTGTGGCTCTGACATCGGAATTCTGGTTCTAAAAGCACTATTTTCTACTGTTTGAGCTGGGAGATCCACTTTGTAAGTAGGCTTATTAGCCTCTGCATGTGACCTCCCCACCAGAGGGAGACAATATGCCATATTGACTGCATGCATTTTGAACAGCAGCTGTCTACATGTAGAGGTGGTTGGAAAATTTTCAGACAATATCTTCAGAAAATTACAGCTTATTGAGCCCATAACATTTCATTCAAAACCTGCTGGGTTCAATAAAATCTTGCCAAATGCAAGGCAGAGTTCTGAGTGAACTTGTTTGGATTCCTGCTTCAGTGTCTAGATCCCAGGAGTTCAGCACAGCTCCTCTATGAAACTGGCAAAGTCAATTATCAACCCACAAGAACAATTGCACTGGGCAGCACAGGATCTATGGAACATCTTTTTCAGCTGAAAGATGGAATGACCCGTTCCATGCTGAAGGTGGACAGGAAGGGGGATGCTAGGACCCCGCCACTGCTGCTGCTTCTTTCCTCAGTGGCATGGGGAGAGCACCTGCAGCCAAAGCCACCATACTGAATGCTACCAAAGACCTGTGTCCATAGGCTAGATCTAAAGATTCCAGCAGCCTAATCTGGTCCATGGGCTGAAGATTGCCCACCCGTGATCTAGTTCATGGGAAATGTTGCAAAAACTAAATGTCTTGTGAACTGCAAACCCTGTCTTTGGGACAACTCTACATAAACTGATTTTGTTTTATTCTGCCTTTGCCCTTATTATATTTTAAAATTACTGTTTAAAAAAAAAAAGAAAGCTATGTCAATTATAAAAGCAACTGGACACACATTTTGTACTTACTGATGCCAAGTGACAGAATCAATTACTTTCCCTCCTGATTTCAGAAAGCTGAAAGTAAAGAGCAGAGTTTCATTACTATGTTAAACATACTGAATATTGATAGAGAAAAGCAGACAATACTGTGAATGAAGGGCTGACAGTGACAACAAACATGCCTTTAATGCAGTCAAACAGCAGCATCTAGAATCTAGGCCTTAAAGCCAGGAACATCTAGATTAAAATTCTAGTTCTGATAACGACTTGCTAAGTGATCTTGGACAAGTCACTTACCTTTCCTGGGCCTTAGTTTAGCTCGTCTATAAAATGGTATTCAGTGAATTGTTGAAAGGTTTACCTAATGTTTGTGTGGTTCTTTGAGATCCTGAGGTACAGGCCACAAGTTACAACTTTTATTTAAGCTGACTGTGTTAGAAGTAGATTTGAACTTTTTTGAGTGAGAAAGATATTAAAAACCCCTACAGAATTCTCTCTCTGGTACACTGGAATGCTACTAACCTATGCTAAGTGATAATTTTTTTCTGGATGATTTAGACTCTCCCATTTCAATTCAATAAACATTCTTTGTGCCTTATCCCCTAATCTTCTTCCTTCCCTCAAGTTGATGCCTACAACTTAATGTATATAGTATACTCCTACTTATGCTACTGTTACTTTTGGTACTATATCACCAACTGCAAGGTGTGCATGTTAGTGAAACTCCGCTACATTGCAGGGATGGATCCTCAGCTGGTTTAGATATTACCTGCAGCAGTGGAACTGGGCTAAATGACATTAAGAGCTGACTCTTTGTCTCTTGCATGCAGTTTGGGTTTCAGTTACACACTGTGAGGGCAGAACTGATTCTTTTCCAAAACTAAGAACAAATGAATTCTTAATGGCATCTCATTCTTTCAGTGTCATCTTTAACACCTTCAGCATTCTCAGACCCAAACTCCTGCAGCCTTTGTTCAGTTTCCTGCCCTATCTTATCAAGCTTATGCCCGTTTTCTGCTTTCTTACCTCCTCAACAACTTCTGAGTGTTCTTCCGTGGCTGACCAACATCAGGGCCATACAGTTTTGAATTCCTGTAGAAACTATAATTACTCAGAAGGTGGCGTAGATGAACAAAGTCTTGTCCTAGTTGGAAGCCATCAATATACATGCCAGACTTTTTCCTGAAGCTGTTTGGCTCTGGAAGAAATGCATACACACAGACTCTTCTTAGTAGGCTTCCAAAAGAAATGTGTAATGATTCGGTTAAAATTTGCACAGCAGTAATAACTGACCAACTTACAGGGTGTTAAATGCAAAAAGCAGATACTAGATAAGCTACAAAGCAACATGAAATGTCAGGAAAAAAAGGACTGTAGCAACTTCAGAAGACCACTCCCCACCATCAAAGGCTTATCACAGCTAGTACCTTCTCCAGTGCTCTGCCTGAATTATTTTAAATATATAAGAAAAATCGTCTGCACTTCTTTAGCACACTTCATCCCAAAGTGCTGTACAAAAAATGAACCGATGTTGTACTAATTAAGCAGTGAGCCTCCTACCATTTCTTTTCACCAATAAAACACCACTTTATTTTTACTTGCGCTGTACAGAATCAGTTCTTGAATAGGTTATGGTGCCCTGAAAATTAATGTCAACTGCCACATGATAGTGGTTATCCCAGCCTGATCTAGCTAGCACCCTCCTTGTTCTCTTTCACTTCCTGGCTTGCTATCTCCCTCTATCTTCTTGGCTCCAAAGAACCTCCACCATCCTCTCCCATTAATTCTTTTCTCAGAGACCGCTGCTATCCTCCACTACTTCTCACTGTCTTGCCACCTGAACTAAGCTTCTCCTTCTACTCTTTCCTAACATAGTCTACCTCTAGCTCCCCCATTCCCAAACCTGTGTTCTTTCTTATTACCCACTACCAGGGATGCTCCCCCACCCTCTCTGACAATGACCATCTTTCTAACCTCAGCAATATTTGCTTCCTTGCCTTCTCCTCCCTAACAGAGAGCAGTTATCAGCATCCAACAATCTCTAGGTCCTAAATGCTATTACACGGTATCTGGAAAGCCCCAAATTGTGATCCATCCTGTCTCTACTTGTAAAACAATCTGAAACACATTTGAATTATGGTTTTACAGCTCAGTTGGCAAAAGAGATTAAGACACAGGCGTAACAAATCTGTCACTCTTGAACAGGGTTTGCACATCAAAGAGTTTTCTGAAATGTTGTGCCATTCAGGTAGAAGATATACTTATGGCTCTGATTTCCTTAACACACATATACATACCTCAGACCTGTCACTTACCATTCCCAAGTTCCCAGGACATGTTGTACTTCTGGGAAGCACAGTAATCCAAGAGTAACTGAGCATTTGAACTATCCCACTGAGAGTTGCCTTTCCGCAGCAAGGCATTAAGTCCAAAGACCAGCTGAAATTCTGAACAATTGGCAAAGTTGTAGAGAATGTCCAGTGTACTTCCTGTAAGAAAAGGAAGGGAATAAATAAAACTGTTTTCTTCAAAGGCCTGAAGTACTGAGTAACCTAGAACAGAGTGCAGCCTAATGCCTGCAATTATTATTTTCTTTATTGCTGTAGATGCACATGGCACATGAATCACAGGGTCCTGCCCTGTGAACACAGAAGGCCTTTTCCTGGAAAATGCCAAACACCCTCTCAAATCCTGTTGGAATTGGCGATCATGTTAAATATGAAATAGAAAAACATGGACTAAGAGTAACATGTTCAGAAATGCTTGAGACGCATGGGTGTTCCAATGATTTTCAATAACAATAAGGATCTTAAATGCTTTTTGAAAATGAGACTTAAGTACTTCTGAAAATTTGTCTGTGAAACACAAATCAGTTTCCAATCTTTTATTGCAAATTGCAGCTCAAGAGTCAAACATCTTACTTGTAATGGTGGTGGTGTTGTGTTTTTTCCAATACTGTTCCTCAAAGATTAATTTCTCCTGGACAGGCCACTGAATTAGCAGTTGTTCTTCCAAAGCAAAAGGAGTGGAACTTACTCCACAAATATCTGCAGTACAAAGAAAACAACCATGAGTGAGCCAAGTAATAAACTTTTCATAGTGTTTTTTAAGGCTATAGTAAATAGAAGATCAGAGTCCACATAAAGACAGACAGCTAGTTTGTACAGAGCTGATCATACAGGCATTTCTGTAGACTGATTGCTCCTACCATATTAACCATTTGAGAAATGGATGGGAAGCATCAACCCAATCCTGCTTAAATGAAGTAAAGCCACATGAGATGTTTGCTTCATAATCCAACAATATTCAGTCTTTAGTGGTGGATGTAGCCCTAGAGTGGTAGCTCTTTCAGTGGGCATAGCTGAGCAGCTCTGCACCTGGGGCAGCCACGTGACACTCAGGGTAGCAAAGGCTAGTACTGATTGCAGAAGCGTGATCAGTAGGGCTGTGCAAGGCTTCAGACAGAACTTTGGATCCGGAGACACTTCGGACGCTTCGGGGTCCAAAGCAGCACATCCAGGTCGAAGCGCTGGCCTTGTTAGGCTTCCTGAAGCGGTTCGGAGCTTCCGAAGAGCTTCAGAGCTGCCTCAGAGATCCTACCATAGGGTATAATGGGGAAACAATAAAATATCTGTAACGTTGTTGTTTTTTGTCCGATTTGGATGAAATTTTCAGGGGTGGTATACTCTGCAGAGAGCATGAGGTCTGCCAAGGTTCAAGAAGATTGGTTCAGGGGTTTGTGGGGAACTGCACCCCAAATTCGTGAAAGCAAAACTCATGTCACATCTAGGTGTTACAACATAGTGGGGTGAAAACTGCAGGGGTGGTGGCTCTTACTGAGGCCACAAATCCTGCCAGGTTTCAAGAAGATCAGTGCAGGGGTTTGGGGGGAACTGCCCCTCAAGCTGCAGACAAGCAAAACTGGTGCCATGTGTGCTGCGGGACTGTAAGCTACTGTGTTACCAGTTACCAGTCAATCTATCATGATTCATACAGGGACAAGGAACTCAATACACAGGACCTAGCTACTACATAAGGACTTAACCAGCATCAATTAGTACCTACAAAACCAGGCTAAGGAGAGGAAACAATCCATACAAACAATCAACTGGCCCAAGACAGGGAGAGTCTTGGCACGAGTTTTGTCTGTCAGCAGCCAGAGATGCAGGGCCCCAGAACCCCCTGGCACCGATCTCCTCGACAGTTGGCAGGCATTGTGGCCTCAGCAGGGGCCAGCATCCCTGCAGCTGTCACCCTGCTGCACCTTAACACACTCAGTGTCACCCATGGCATGAGTTTTGCTTGCCCACAGCTTGGGGTGCAGTTCCTCCCAAGCCCCTGCGCCGATCTCCTTGAAACTTGGCAGGGTTTGTGGCCTCAGTAAGAGCTACCAGCCCTGCAGTTTTGACCCCCCTGTGTTGGAACACACAGCCGTGACATGAGTTTGGCTTTTAAGAATTTGGGGTGGAGTTTCCCCCAAACCCCTACACCGATCTTCTTGAAATTTGGCAGGTTTTATGCTCTCAGCAGAGGCTATCACCCCTGCATGTTTCATCCAAATTAAACAAAAAACAACAAAGTTATAGAGATTTCATTGATTCCCCAATATATCCTATGGCTGGATCTCTGAGGCGACTCCAAAGCTTCAGAGCTGCTTTGGCTGCATTGAGGTGGAAACCCAGTCCAGAGCTCCAGATCAGATCATGGCCATCCAAAGTGGCCGGATCTGAAGCCAGATTGGATAGCTGCCAACTCGCACAGGCCTAGTGATCAGCCTAGTGCGGCTATTCCCCTCCTGCAAGGCAGCACCGAGGGCTGCTGCTCTGGTCACCCCACTAGAGTACACTACAGGCTTTTTTGTGCTTTTATTGATTGCAAGCATTTTACTGGATCGAGCAATATTCCCCACTACAGACCCAATTAAAAAAAGTACTTAAGCATGTGCAAAGTCTGTCTGTGGGAAGTCCAAAATGCCTGCCTTGGGATGTAGTGGGTTTAGATAACAGGCAGCATAATTTGGTAAACTTTTGTTAATGTTTAAGTTTTAGGAGGCCTTGTTCTAAAGACCTTATAAACTGCAGCCCCTAGATGTACTGCACCACACAAATAAATAGAAAAACCCTCAATACAGGAAGACCTGTCATTACCCATTGTCATTGCATGACATAGATAAAAGCAACATTTCCTGCTCCATGCAACAGGAACTGCCTGTTCCTGCCTGATCATGTCTAACATGATCCCACATGAAATGGCCCTGATAGCAGTTCTGGAAATCCTCACTATTGCCTTCACATAGCATTAAATTTGTATTTATTTATTTACTTATTTTTACACATCTAAGATCATAAACCACACACTGATGCCGTCATACTGAAAACAGGAGAGGATGTTTGCTGCAAGAAAACATATGGGATTGAAAGGAACGTTTGACTTCATATTTAACACTTACCAGCACCCTTGGACATTACCATTTGTCAAGGCTCTCCATCGTAAAACCCACTTTAAAGAGATATGCATCTTCTCAAAGAAATATATTAGAGGCCAAATCTTGGCACTCGAACAAGCCACCAATATCTTAGCTCTCAGACCTGCCATATTTAAATGTAAAGAATGGGACCCCAAATTGTGCAGCATTAGCCTCCTAGCCTAGTCAGTGTTCAGGCAGAATAATCTCTTTTCTCTCATCTGACTGTTTCTTTTTAATTCTGTGCACCACTGTCCCAGTTATAGGATTTGGTTCCTTCAGCCTTCTGGTGTAATTACAGCAGGCCCTACTTGCATGTGCTTTTCTCTCCAGCAATAGGAACTGAGTCCTGAAGAACTTGAGACAGATTCACGAACATCAGTCCAGTTACTGATATTTAAGCCTGGACTGGAATCATGAATCACTGGTGAATTCTGAATGCTGCTGCCATGTTTTTGTTGTATTTGCAGTGTGCTTCAGAGTGCAGCCTTTAACTAAGTCAAAGATTGGTTGTTGGTTGAACATGCCTCTCCACACCTTCCATTTTACCTTGATTTCCCTGTAGTTCCCAAAGCTCTCTCTCTTCTAAAGTCGAATCCTTTGTTGGGTCAAAGATCAGGAAGTCTGTCTTGGTGCCACCAAACCTCAAGAAGCCTGGAGACAATCCTTTGGCTAAAGTGCGCAGCTTGCGATTGCTGTGGGAGGGAACATGGAGAAACTGAACAAACATCCTCATCGCAATCCAGCAAACCAGCCTTATTTGTAGAGATGGAGTCTGAACCAGATCCTTGGATCTAAATACCAGAGACATTCAGATCCAGATCCACACTTCGCAGCACATGGCCTCAAGGGCAGAACATGTTCCCATTCCCTTTTATATCCTAAGTCATGTTACTACAGAGGTGGGCAAAATACAGCCTGCAGACCAGATCTGGCTTTTTAAGGGATTTTGTCCAGCCTGCAGCAGGTCCCTTGGCACCACCTGACCCAGGTGCAGAGAGCAGCCTGGGTCATGGTGCATGCAGCCAGTACCACTGTCCCCAGGGATACAGCAGGGCTGGGGTGTCATGGCAGCTGGGCTTGCTTCCTTGCAGCATCTGAAGCAGCAGCTCCTTCCAGCTGCTGCTGCCAGTTTATGCTGCCATGCTGGACCCAACCCCACCGCCCAAGCACCCCATCCCATTTGCCCCATACCTACTGTTGGAGGTATTGGATGGAGTGGCTGGGCAGGGTCTCCATGGAGACTGACCCAGGACACATGTGGGCAGGGCGTGTAGGTGGGTGGATGGGATGGGG